GGGGGGGGGGCAAACCGTAAACTTGCCCGGGCGTAATGGCGAATCTGTAATGCGACTTAAATATGGGGTCAGTCGGTGAGCCGCGCTGGCGGCCGCTGGGGCCTGGGTGGCGTGGGAGAGCCCCTCTCCCTCTCAGCGGCAGCAGCAGTCAGCGGCCATGGGCGGTCATGGGCATGCATACAGCCGATCATGCGAATGATTCGGAAGCTTATGCGGATTATGTGGCTCGCAAATAATGTAGCCGCTTGCTGCGGAATGGAAATGTGTGAACACAAAGTAACACACTTCACAGGTGTGGCGCGTATCTCGCCGAAGGACACACCCTGTATGTCGGGCAGATATAGCTTATCAGTCGGTGTGCACGCCCCACCCTGCGCGCCCCGGGGCCGGACACGGCGTCGCGGCGGCCGCTGCGGGCCCGGCTGGGACCAGGTCATTTCTTATCAGACGCCCTTATCGGTAATCCCCAATTTCGAAAGGCTATTTCTGCCCCCTCCCCCTCTCCCCCCACTTATGTGGGACCGATTATGATCTTGGATTTTGTATATGCAAATGATAACATTTACACTATATTTATGAACTCATCTCTGTGCAGGAAAGGTTTTTTCGACGCTGTCAACCCATTTGATGTGCATGCACGTGGTTGTGGTTAAGATAAGGCGAGGAAGAATTAGACATTTCACGTACTTAAGTCTTTATACATTATTCTTTGGAGTTTTTATTTGATGGGTTTTATTCAGGGCTCTCCGCCACGCAACTGGCTGTTTCCCCCTCACACTCTTGCAACGTTTTTGTCGCGAGAGCTCGTCGATAATACCTTGTTAGCATTTGTTTATAAATACATATATTAACTAGACCATAGAAGTAATATTTATCTTCCTGCCCCATATTTGAGGCGTCTCTGCTGACTCTGAAGTCGTCTGTTTCTCATGCGCTTGTGTTATTGTGTTGCAGGTGCGCGTAGAGCGGCCGCGGCCCCCGAGGCCCGCGCGGTCCCATGCTGGCGGTGCCGCCCCCGGCCGCGCCGCCCCCGGGCTCGCGGCTCAGCCAGCCCGCCGCCGATGAGCTCCGCGGCAGCAGCGGCGCGAGCAGCCCGGCGAGCCCAGATAGCAGCCCCACCTCTGGCACCTTCAACGACGGGCCCAGGCCGGGCGATAAGGAGAACCCGTTCCGCGATCAAAGTCTCAGCAACGGCTCGCGCCCAGCAGCAGCAGTAGCGAGCAGCGTGTCCTCCCGACTCGCCAAGAGCCAGAGCGTCATCGAGAACCTGCAGCGCAGCCTCGTCACCAAGCTCAGCCCGGCCACCATCCAGTCGCTCAAGAGCAAGTACGCCGCCACGCCCGCGCCCCTCGCCAGGCCCGAGCAGACAGACCCGGACCTCGACGCGCCCTCCCCGACCTCGCCGCTTTTACCGGTGAAAAGCAGCCCCGAGGTTGGCGACAAGCCGCGCGCCAACGGGAACCGCAAGGCAACAGCTGCCGTCTTCGACGTCACCAACGTCGAGAACCAGAGCAGCGTCAAGCTCGCGTTCCTCAGCGGAGAGGCCGTCAAGCAGCCGGCGCCCCGCCCCGCCAAGAAAGCTGTCGAGAGGAAGCCACTGCACATTCCCTGGGCCCGCAAGGTCGTTGCCAAACAGGCTGACAAGCAGTCCCCCAAGCCGCCGGTGCCCGCCAAGAAAGAGGCTCTCCGTGACAGCAACAGGCAGCCCATCGCCGTCAAGAAGTCCCCCGCCAAGCCCACCAGGTCCACGCCTCAGGACGGCCTGTCTGAGCTTCTGAAGACGCTAGTCATCGATAACAGCTCGTCATCCGAGAGGTCGACCGAAAAGTCTCGCGGCGGAGACGTCGTCATCGAAACTCGAACGAGCGCCAACCCAGCCGACAACACGGCGTCACCAGCGCGACCGTCCAAGCCGCAGCCCGCGCCCAGGACGACCAGCCTGCCTCCAGCTTCCTCTGGAAGGACATCGCGGGAGTCGATAGTCTCTCCACGGGCCTCGCCGTCACCGAGGCCGCACAGCCTAAGCCCCCTGCCCAGACCGTCGCCGGCCACATCTCCGGGCAGGACGCCCCCGGAGCGGTCGCAGCTCCTGGAGCACAGGCTCAACGAGATCAGGAAGGACCTCTGGCACGAGGGCCAGGACTCGCCTCGCCGGCGCCATGACTCGCTGCCCCCGGCGGACAGCGAGTCGCTCGCCGCCCCGCCTCGGTCCGTGCAGGAGGCCACGCTAGAGCACTACGCGCGCGCCATCCAGAAGCACCTCGACGGCCGAGGGGCAGCGCCCGCCGCGCCGCGCCTCAGCGAGCTCTGCGTCGACACATCTAGCTCGACGCACTCGTCCACGTCGACGCTCGTGTCCACGCCGTCGCAGTCCCCCGGCTGGGACTCGCTACCGCCCACCCCGCGCGGCAGGCGCTCCACTGACGGCGGTGGGCAGGAGTCTTCCTCGCACAAGAAAAGGCTGCGCGAGGAGTTGCTGGGCTTCTACTACAGGAGCCTGGATCGCGAGAGTCGCGGGAGCAGGTCCGGCCGCATGTCCGCGCCGCCGCTGCCCTACGTGATCCCCACGGACCAGGCCACCTACACGGCGGACCGCACCCTGCGCCAGGAGTTCATCGTGGTCCCCGGCGAGGCGACGTACCAGAACGTCCACTCGCTGCGCCGGCCGCCCGGGTCGCCGCTGCTCGCGTCTGGCGAGGACAGCGACAGCACCCTTGCCTCCCAGGACCAGCCGCGACCCCGCAGCAACATGAACTTCTTCGTGCGCGGCGGGCCGCAGCGCAACACCATCGGGGCCTACCCGGCGCGCAAGACGCCACCCAAGGATGAGGTGGACCTGCGGCGGGAGTTTGGCGGCGACGTCGAGCTCCGCCACCCCCAAAAGCTGGTCATCACCAACAACAAGAAGCGACACAACAGCGAGTCGGAGGCCGCACCACGAGCCGTCAACGGCAAGCCGAACAAGGGTGGCAAACCGTACGAGGCGTGGGGCAGTGGCAAGGAAAGCAAGAAGGCAAGCAAGTCAAACGGCACCGCCAACGGCAAGAAGTCTCTCTTCCCCATCTTCCGGAAGGGCAGCCTGCACCCCAGTCCACCGACCACGCCAGGTACGCCGCCGCCCGTGCTGCCCAAGAGGGTCAGCTTCTCGTCGGCGACCTCCCCGATGTACGCCACCAGCACGCCCAACGGCCACGGCGCGGCACGCCCCAATGGCGACGGCTGGCCCACCAGGAATGGGCCAGCTGCGACTCCACCGACGAGGACCTCGCGGCTGGACAGCAGCGACTCTGTGTTCCTGCCGAATAATTACTACGCGACTCAGGAGCAGATCTACGCAAACCAGTACGCCGTGGCCCCGGGGGAGGGCACGTATGTCAACTACACCATGCCGACCCCGCCGGAGATGCAGCCCGGCGCCCTCAACGGCGGGACCAACGGCGGGGGCCTTGCAGTCAACGGCTACTCCCCGGGGAGCGCGCACTCCCCCGTGTACGGCAATTCGCCCAGGAACCTGTACGGCAGCACAAAGCAGACGCACACCTCCCCTTCCTCGCTGTACGGCAACGCCCGGCAGCCCTCTGGCACGCCCTCCGCCGGGGTGTACGGCACAGTGCAGCAACAGCAACAGCAGCTACAGCTGCAGCAGGCACAGCAACAGCAGCAGCAGCAACAGCAGCAACAGCAGCAACAGCAGCAACAGCAGCAACAGCAGCAACATCAGTCGCCCTCCGGAGTCTACGGAACGACCGTAAAGTCACCGGTCGGAATCTACGGACCCACGTCGGGTCTCTACGGCTCAGCGCCCTCAGCTACATACGGCAGCACCAAGCTGCCCCCCTCGGGGGCGTACGGGTCGACCCAGTCGTCCCCGGTGTACGGGACGAGGCAGCAGCCCTCGCCCGGCCCGCCGCGAGCCACCACGCCACAAGGGTCGGCGGCCGAGCTGACCAGCCCCTACGGTGCCAGGACCCCCAGCGGCGTAGCCTACAGCCCGTCGCAGCCGCCGTACAGCCTCGCGCCGCCACAGACCGGGTCTTCCCCAGGCAGCGTCTCCGTCGGCTCGGCGCCGTCGCCCGCGGGTTCGTCTTTCAACGCGTCCGCGAACACGTCCCTGAACGCGTCGAGTGCGTCGGTTTCGCCGTACGGACCGTACGGGCACCAGGGCCGCTTGTACGGGCGGACGGGGCTGCCGCCGCGCGCCCAGAGCGCCACCCCCACCATGATGATGGCCCCGGACAGGCCGCTGCCGCCCATCCCCGCCGGCAGGGCGTCGCTGGGGGGCCCGGGCCCGGGCCCCAGCCCCGGCTCCGTCGCCCCCAAGCTGAGCCAGCTCACCCTCTCCGAGAGCGAGTCCGGCAGCGAGGCGGGAGAGGTGCAGCGCATCCTGCAGCAGGCCAACGACAAGAAGAAAATAACCTTCATCAAGTTCTCAGGTAAGCTCGCCCGCTGCAGAGTACGTAACCTGTCCTGGGAACACCACGTCTGTTTGTTTTGGGGCACTCCCTTGTGGGTCTCACCCACCACTCGATGGTAAAAGTTGCGCGCAAGGTTTTTACATGATCAAAATGCAATATTCCAGTTAGGGGTCGTGCCACTAGTACGTGACTCTCATGGGCGGGGACAAATATTTTGGGGTCCCCAAAGGATCAGGATGGTTATTGGAGTCGAAAGACACCATATTTGTACCCTGGGGTAAAAATATCATGGGATCTCCTTGCACTCCAATGATCATTCTGATCTCTTTGGGACCCCAAAATATTTGTACCCCCC